CCGGCTCGATGACCCAGTTGAACCAAAAGTCCTTAACCGTGATGCCAATGTCCCGGATCCAATCGAATATCTCGGCGCGCCTGTTGACCAGAACCCGGAGCACAGTCGTCGAAGAAAGCAGAGCAATTCCCGCGGGGAGCCAGTAGCGGATGAGTCGTGAGGGGCGGCCGTTGCCGCGGACGAGTTCTTGCGTGGCAACGACGTGGTTGGGAAGGCCGGAGTCGAGAATGTTCAAGAGACGTCTCGCAAGCACAGAGGGCTTCTCCACGGCGTTGGCGTCCTCAATATGGATGGACAGCTCCGGGTCTTCCTCCACGCCGGCAAACACCTTGTCTTCAAACTCGGCGACGCCCGACTCGAGGCTCAAGACGTCTTTGAGGACCATGTCCATGAGGGCAACGCTCCTCTCCACCACGCCCTTCCAGTCGTGGCTGCTGACCCCCGCCTCGCTCTTGTCGTCGTCGTCATCCACGCCAAACGTCAGGCCTTCGTCAACCAAGACACCCAGACCGCTCGCCGTCATCTCGCGCAGCCGCTTGAGGTGAGCCAGCTTCCGCCTGGCCTCACCTCGGCTGAGAGCAACGGGCGACAAGACTCGTCGCTGCAGGGTCGTGATGGAGGATTCCCGGATGCTCTCTCGCACAATGCCGTAAAACTGACTCCATTGCTGCGCCAGGCCTGTCCGCGTAGACTCCACGAACTCGCCGGGCGAGTGGCTGAGGTGTTGGAAGCGGTGTTTGCTGTCCTGGTAAACGTCCTTTGTCAAGGCCCACAGACGCAGCGGCGACGTCTGGATGGTGTAGAGACTGCTGTAGGTGTAGGAGCTGAGCACCTCGTCCCAGTACCAGATGTCGTCGCTGAGAGGAATGATCTGGTCCAGGAGTGTGTTGAGGATGACTCCGTAAGTTTGCACGGTGGCCTTGCTGATGAGCAGCCACTCGATTTCTGACTGATAGTGATTCCGTCCCTCACCCTCGCTGTACTCGGCCAGAAAGTCCCATTCAGCCAGTTTTGACTGGGTCAGCAGGGCGCGGATCTTGTGTGACTGCAGCAGGGAGCGTGAAGATGAGGTGGTGGACAGGGCCCTCACGATGCGCAGCAGCTCATCGACCCTCGGCGACGACAGGGCGTCGGCGGAGGTGGAGTTGAAGATGCCATGCTCCGAGGCAGCAAGCTCGCCGTTTTCTTGAGAGATACTCAGACCCAGAGGGATTCGATCCAGCTGTGCGTCCAAGCGACGGATCTGGCTGTGTTCATGCTGTTAACCACCACATGTTTTTGTGTTTGTTTTTCTTGGCGGGCGATGCCGGGTGAGGTGCGGGCAGGAGGGGAAAAGACGGGACGGGCTACTTACTCGGCCACAACAGACATTATTGCTTCTCACTCAGAGAGCGCTCCTCCGCCACGTTCATGGGTCGGTGATTGACCTGGTCTGGGCTGTGAATATTGCAGTTTCGTGCGTGTGTTGGATACTCATTCAAGGGAACAGCAGAGAATTGGGTAGACGTCATGCCATAGGTAAGCAAGCGACGACGGGACTGCCCTGAACAACACTTTTGCGAGGGTCGGGCCTGGGCCCCGCGCGCGTGCTGGCGGAAGTGGAATGACGGTGTGGATGCCTGAGCTGGCGCTGTGCCTTAGTCAGCCGGATGAGCTGGCGCCACTGACGGTGCTTCGCGGCAGACCGCTACAGTGCCCGCTGAGGAAGTCGAGTTCCATCCAATTGGAGGGGTAGACGAGCGGGTGCATTTGCCCTCGTTCTGTCGCGACGAGACTGATAGAGATGAAGTTCAAAAAGAGGCCAGAGTAATGATGACACGAGTTCTAGTCTTTGGTCGACAAGCTTCCGGGTGTCGGTTCATTCGATGCTTGGCTGAACCTTGCGGGGCGCGGCCGCGGGAATGAAAACACAAAACACCACGCCTAGTCATCATGAGTTTCCATCGCGGGGCGGTGAAAGCTTCGCGGCTCCGGTCATGACAACGCGGGGACGGACGGGAAGAGGCGGGACGGCGACGACAACGCTGGGATTGGGACGGCAGGCCTTTTCAGACCACGGCGACCAAGCACCGGTCATCACAGGCTGGGACCGATGCAGCGGAACAGGCTCAGCCGGAACACGCCATTTCGACGTACTGCCCCATGTCCGCGCTCGTCAGTTCCGGTGAGAGTGGCAGCAACAGCAGTGGATCCAGCATGCTTCTGACAGGTGCACAAAGGCAGCGCCCGGCGGAGGTCAGATGGATCTCAATCGGCAATCTGGTGTGGCAGATTGAAGCTTGGGGAACGGCGGCGGAATAGCTTGTGAGGCTCTTTTAGTGTCAAGTCCGGGCCACACAGGTGACGGCGACAGTGAGCGGCAGTGGTGTCGAGCATCCAGCAAGCCACGAGAGACGCACCCCTCCACGTTCGTATTCGGGTTGCGAACACGGGTACGTACCGCAAGCTAAGCTGATGGTTCACCTAACCCAACGCCAATGGGAAGCACGGCGCGATCTGAGGAACAGGAAGCGCATCATCCACGTAGACTGGGAGAGGCGTAGCAACGAATTGTCGAGGTGCGAGGCCACTACGCAGGAATCAGGAGCACCCCATGCACGCCGATAAGATAGGGCTATCCCAACATCGGTCTCCTTCGAGTGCCCGCGACTTGGCGCAGTGGATCAGATCCCCCATTCAGTCACAATGGCGTTTCCCTCCTGGTCCTCCCGTCCCCTTTTCTGTCTGTCGCCTTCACTTGATGACCCGTATCCGTATCTGACTGAAGCCCCCCAATTGAGTGCTGACTGTCACCCCCGACAAGCCATCCAAGCTGCTTTAGCATTAGCTTCGTTAGACAGCAACGTTCGTCTAGAAACATGCTTGACACAGAACAAAAAAGGAGCTCTGTCCCATGTTCCATGCCCCGTGCGCGCCTCGGCGTCTGCGGTGGCCGCTGTACCTTTAGCACTCTCTCAGCGTGTCAATGGCCCTCCACCCCACTGATTAGCACACCTCTCGCCTCCCGTGGCCCTCACACCGCCCGACCCAGTCGCCAGGGCACGCTGGCTTCTGACTGGCCGGGCCCGCCACGGAAGACGGAAGGACCCACAGACTGCATGGGCTCATGTCCAGGCGCAACACGCCATTGGCTGGCTGACACCTCGATGTGCAGGGGCGTTTTCATAGCACAACCCCGAGCTAAGGCATGTCCAGTATTTTTCTGCTGCTTGCCATTTCCTTTCCCCGTCAACCGAAATGATCCATGGATAAAACCTCAACAAGACCCGGTCCTGGACCCTTTTGCCTCCGACCTTGACGCTCGCTGTCTTTTTTTTCCTTATCACACCCACCGCTTGCATCTCGCCTTCGCGCATCGTCGAGAAGGGTGGCTGCTTTCATTCATTCTTCCTACATACTCGATTTACAACTTTTCACCCTGCAGACTGGTAATCCTGCGCATCGTGAAGCGAATCTGCGCTCCCCGCCATCATGGCCGCCTTCATGTGAGTGTCCTCCCGACCGCCTCCGCGCCCCCTATCCCGATGACATATCCTCGAGCCCGCCGCTAACGCTTCCGTCTGCGCAGCAACTCGACCGTTATCAACACGGCCTTCAACCACACTCAGCCCTACTTTAGCGTCTTTGAGGAGGTCTCCAAGTACAATGTGCAGCTCAACTACTTTGAGCGCCTCTGGGCCGTACGTTCACCGAATACCCGATAGCTACGCGCGACGCGACTAACACTGTGAAGGCCTGGTACCTCTGGATGCAGAACGATACCCTCGCCACCGGCATCATGAGCTTCGTCATGCACGAGACCGTCTACTTTGGCCGCAGTCTGCCTTTCATCATCTTCGACCTCATCCCCTGGTTCCACAAGTACAAGATCCAACCCGTAAGACGCCTGCTGCTCGACAATAGAAAACACACCTAACATGTTATTAGCAAAAAATGCCGACACTCAAGGAGCAGTGGGACTGCGCCATGGTCGTCCTCATCTCCCACTTCACCGTCGAGTTGCCTCAAATCTGGCTCTTCCACCCCCTGGCCACCTGGTGCGGCATGGAGTACGGCGTCCCCTTCCCGCCCCTCTGGAAGATGGCCATGCAAATCTCCATCTTCTTCGTCATGGAGGACTCCTGGCACTACTGGTTCCACCGCGCCCTGCACTACGGCCCCCTCTACAAGGCCATCCACAAGCTTCACCATTACTACTCGGCCCCCTTCGGTCTCGCCGCCGAGTACGCCTCGCCCATCGAGGTCATGCTGCTGGGTATCGGAATCGTCGGCTCGCCCATCTTCTGGGTTACCCTGACCGGCGACCTCCACCTCCTGACCATGTACGCCTGGATCGTCCTCCGTCTCTTCCAGGCCATCGACGCCCACAGCGGCTACGACTTCCCCTGGAGCTTGCGTCACTTCCTGCCCTTCTGGGCCGGCGCCGACCACCACGACCTGCACCACGAGAAGTTCATCGGCAACTACGCTTCCTCCTTCCGCTGGTGGGACTACTGCCTCGACACCGAGGCTGGCGCCGAGGCCCACAAGAAGCGCCGCGAGCGCAAGCTCAAGGCCATCAAGGCTCAAAAGGCTCAGTAGACAAGGTCACACGAGACTTATGACGATACACGGCCGCTGAGCGACGACGCAAACGGCACGTTATGGATACCGATGAGTATCCCCTGATACGACTTGTAGACGCGGCGGACGGTACTACCGCAAGGAAGCGAACGACACGGCCCGAGACGGGCTACGTAGTCACGTTAATATCATTGGGGCGGCGTTCGAAGAGGGACTGATGGGTGTGCAAAATGCTGATGCGATTTCTGACGTAAATATTGGGGAGGCCACCCGCACAATGGCACGTAGTAAAGTACTTAATTACAGCACAACACTCGTTGAAAACGGCCCCCAAGTGATATCATACAGCAGTGTACAGAGGCGGGGCGTGCTCCGGCCGTTCGTCCCATGAATCCACCCACCGGCCGCAAAGCTTCTCACGTAGTGGTGGGGGCACGTCAGTTCTTCGGCTTCGGGACGCAGCAGTCCCCGGCCGTGCGGGCGGCCTTGTCCGCCAGCCCCCTGATCCCGCAGCTGGCGCCCTCATCAGGGGTCTCGGCAGCCGGTGCCTCGACCTCGCCAAAGTCCTTGGCCAGCGCATCGCAGATCATGGCAAGCTTGAGGTCTTTGACGGACAGGCCTTTGGGGCTATGTGTCGTCCAGCGGATGAAGGTCGTGTTGTAGACCTGTTCCCGTCAGTTTCGTCACGCTAAAGTGAAGGCGCACACATACATTGGACCACTCTGGGTGGTGGTTGTGAGTCTTGCACTGCAGGCTCACTGCCGTCATGAAGTCCTGGACCGTGGTGTCAGTCCCTCACATCTACAGGTATGGGGAAACATTACAACGCACCCAAGTCTTGGCAAAGTTCTTGAACTTGAAGCTGCGCTCGACGGCCTCGCCTTCGTTTACGAGCGCCCAGCGGCCCTTGCTGAGGAGAGTGTCCAGCGTCGACGAGAGGGATGCCTCATCTGAGCCCTCGCTGAAGCGGGCTTGCAGTTGAGCGTTGGCCATGCTGCGGAACTGCTGTGTGTATCGAATTGACGAGGCAAGGCGGGAGGCTGCTGCTACTGACCGCGCGGGTGTTGCAAAGTGTCGTAGGAGTGAAGGGGCGCTCATGGCCGTTGGGGGGAGTGAGAGGTGAGTGAGGGCAGAGGTGAGGTGGTGATGAGGTGTGATGTAAGTCTTTTCCACCAGTGGGAGCCGCGGTGCTTGAGGAGTTGAGTGTACGTACCTTGGTCTGTGGCCGAGCTCAGGTGGGGAAATGGAACTCACTCCTCATGAACTAAGCAACAACACTTTGATTCGAGTGAATCTCATATTCATGTTCATACTTTAGTTTCGATGGCACTTCTGCATGAGTCCTTGTATCGAAATACACTAGACAGGGCCTCGGGGACATGATCAGGAGCTATGGCTTCAGCGGGTCGGTCCGCGAGAGGCTGATCAACCTCAATCTCATTCTCACGAGCGAGGGGTTCCTGGCGACTTTGAGAGCCTCGATTCAAGTCATCCCGCCGGTAATTGACCCAAGCTTCCCATTGTGGATGGAAGCAGCCCATATGGAGTGAGCCAGGGGTGTAAGCTTGGTGTAGCATCACTTCCCCAAGCTTGGCAGTATTCCCACATCAAGCTTACTGCTGATCCGAGTGATGCACTAACAAGCTCACTTCTAGTTACGGCAGGTGAGTCCCGACAAAACCATGCTGCTGACGCCGGTTGACTGATTTACGATAGCACTGGGAGAAGCGGACCAGGTAAGATATCTGCTCCCCTGGTTATCAGCTAGGGGTTATCAACTACCCCGCGCGTTATCCGTATAAGCTTCTCGACGTACTACGCAATCCTGATCAGAGTTCATCTCATCCTCTGCGGCACTGCAAACGAGTCAACAGCCGAGTGTCTCTCCGCGTCTAACTGTTGCACCTGCCAGCTCACCCAACTCATCGTACGACTCGAACGATTGAGTATCATGCGCGTTCCTCTTCGTACGGTGCCAGCACAGGCAGCATCACAGGCGACCAAGTTCGACATAGCCGACCGACTTGACGAGATGCCGCCTGCTCAGACACCACAAGACCAAAGCGTCACCGTCATTCTGGCCGATCTGCTCATACCCGGCCGTGGCAATCCCCTCAGCGATGCCGCCGTCGCCGTGGTGGATGACAAGATTGCCTTCGTTGGCTTGGCCAAGGAGCTGCCGGACAAGTATCGATCGGCCAACACCGTCAGCGTCCCCGTCGTGATGCCGGGCCTCTGGGATGTCCACGTCCACTTCATGGGCATGGACGTTGCGACCGACTTCAAGGAGGGCATGTTCAACTTCCTACCCGGCTCCAATGCGCTCATCGGCGCCGTCACCGTCGCAGACCTCGAGAGGACGCTGATGGCCGGCTACACCTCCGTCCGAGAGCTCTGCGGGTACGCCGGTGACCTCGTCCCCGCCATTGAGTCTGGGCGCCTCGTGGCCCCGAACGTGTACTCCTCCATCGCCGCTATGTCTATCAGCGGCGGCCACGGCGACGAGCACACGTCTCCCATCGACACGGTGGTCAACTTCGCCCGGTGCGGCGGGCCCTGCGCCATCGCGGACGGCCCGGACGACTGCACCAAGCAAGTGAGGCTACTGGTTCGTCGCGGCGCGCGGTGTATCAAGGTCTGCTCGAGCGGCGGCGTACTGAGCGTGCTGGACGACCCCGAAGACAGGCAGTTCTCGGACGACGAGCTCAAGGCCATCGTCGACGAGGCCGCGCGCTCCCGCCGAGCGGTTGCGGCTCACGCCATCGGCAAGGCGGGCATCATGGCTGCGCTGCGGGCCGGCGTGAAGAGCATCGAGCACGGCATGTACCTGGACGACGAGGTTGCCGATGCCATGCTGGAGAAGGGCGCCATCTTCGTGGCTACACAGCACATTGTCAACACTGTCAGCAAGGACCCCACGCTGCCGCCGCACATGGCGCGCAAGATCGAGAAGCTCCTCCAGAGGGCCGCGGACTCGTATGCTCTGGCCATCAAGAGGGGCATCAAGATCGCTCTCGGGACGGACACGCTCAGCAGCGACCACACCAAGGAGATGGCGCACGGAAACAACGCCAGGGAGCTTTACTGGGCCGTGAAGAGGGGTATGACGCCGCTGCAGGCTATCGAGGCCGGCACGGCCAATGCCCCTGAAGTTCTCGGCGGGATGGCGCCCCTGAGTGGCCAGTTGAAAGAGGGGTTTGATGCGGACCTGATTGCCGTTACAAAGAGTCCTCTCGACGATATCAAGGTGCTGTTGAACCAGGAGAACATTACGCACGTCTGGAAAGGGGGGAGGTTGTTCAAGTTTCCTTGAGTGTGCTGGTATGAGGAGAGCATGGCAAGAAAAAATAAATCAGTAGTTTGGTGAATCGTCTTGTCAATGATAGCGGTATTCCGCATCTCGTCGGCGGGGGAGGAGCCTCGTCCGCCAGTTCAGGGCCGCCAAGACGGTAGACTGCGTCTTGGTTTGTTGTGTAGCTCGTGGTATCCCGTCTCTGGGCCTCCTCGCGCCGTCAGACTCGTCGGTTCGTTCATAACTCCGCATATTCGCAGCCGGAGCGGGGCATCCCAGCCGCCGCAACGCTGACTGTGCACCATGCATGCTTGTAGGTGATGGAATCGTCCTATAAATGCATTAGCGAGCTGTCATGACTGGCGTTGGGTTGATTATCATAGTCTGCTATGCCCCTCCCTCGAAAGGATGCATGCTGCCGTGTTTGAGTTGCTGCATAGTAAGCAAGACGTCCAATCTGATCTCGGCGGGATTCCCCCACAACACGGTACCATCCATGTGGTTTGCTCTTGTCATTGCCGAGATGGACATGGCTGTTTGGTGTAAGTGCAGAGCTTGCTGGCAGGAAGCCAATGGGATGGCCGGTAAAGCGGCGAGCTGTGGTGGATGAATGTCATGGATGATTTGATAGCTTGGCGCAAACGGCGAGATCTATCCCTAGATAGCTGAATAGAAGAATGTTGACGGATGTGCGGAAGTCCGAAAACCACCTTTGAACCGACGGAGTGGCATGTGTAGCTGAGTGAGCTACTCAGAGCCCATCATGCAAGAGTCTGTAGATTGGAATGCTTCGTGGAAAGGGCACTTGGTGAAGTCTCTTGTTATTCATGTGTATCTATCTGTCGACTTTTATTCGTTGCATCAATCCAAAGCATCATGGACAGCGAACCTGTCCAGGCTCTTATCAGATCTGAGCCCGATGGATCAAAAAAGCAGCAACCTGGCAGAGGTCTTCTCTTACGTTCAGCTCCAACTTCACTCGTTTACAGCCAAGTGAAGGCTTAAGTTACTTAGAGGTACAATGCTCTGGAGCGTTGTTGTGAACTTGGTATGAAACCTGAATGCTGTGTTCGGCACCCTTTGGGCTCATTATTTATTTAATCTGAAGTTGTTGTTGCGCTCTATTTCACCTCAAAGTCAACTGCCACAAGTCAGCCCGGGCTTACCAGAAGTCTATGAACAACCCAACAACGACCCTTGCGACGCAATGCTCAAATGCATCATCACGTAATCGAGTCAGTAACATGTCATTGGCCAGGCCGCATCGTCAGAAAGTACCGGGGTTGAACCCCGCCAAATGCAACAAGAGGTGGATGCAGGTACGCCAAGCCACCGGCTTATGTAAGTCAAACAACGGAAGTCGCGGTGCTCGCTGTCCGAGACCATGCGGTCTGCAAGTGCGGCTTTTTCCCAAGCCTGACATGTCGACGCGAGAGTCGAGTGAAGCGGGATATATTGACAGCAGCAACGTGGGAACCAGTCCGCGCGCGATGGCGCTGGCATCGCCCTACCTACTGCCGAATAGGGAATATCTCGGTGAGGCTTCGGTAAATTCGCTCGTGGTTGCGTACAGGGGTACTTTTCACCTGCCCTGATTTAATGCATCTGCCTTGGCCGCGCAGTCTGGTTGGAGAGGCCTGGCACCGGGTTCCGGTCGGCTCTTTCGACATGTCCGTCGCCTCGCCGTGAGTGTGTCGACTCCTTTACGAAGGAACATAGTGTATTTTTAACCGTATATTATATTAGATTACTATATACTTATACTTATCCGTTCGTTTATCCCCACACTATCCCTATTTATCCCTATCCCTATCTATCTCCTAGAGTAATATATATACTTATTAAAAATTAGTATATTATACTATATATTTTAGTTTATAGAAATAAATAAAGTAATTAATATTATTTCTACTTTATATAAAATTAGCTTTTATTTAATAATATATAACTATAAAGTTTTTTTAAATAAAATATAAGAGATTCTTTTTTCTAAGTAATATATTAAATCTTCTAAGTTTAATTTTAGCTATTAAGATAGCTATAAGTACTTATTTTAAACTACTACTTAGTAGTAATATACTATACTTTTATATATTTTTATTTATCACTTTATATTTATTTATAATATTAATTATAAAGCTAAAACTAAAGTTTTATTATTATATAGTATATAATACTATAGTATAAAACTTTAGTTTAGTTTTCTTATTATAGTAATCTTTATATCTATTAAGATTTATATTATATAAGATATAGTTTAATAACTAATATAGTAAACTAGTTATAATATATTTATAAATATATCTATAGAGAGTATTATATTTAAAATTTCTTATATTTAAGTAGTTTATTTACTTTATAAAATATCTTAAACCTAGATAGTATTAATACTTTTTAATCTTAGTATTAGTTTTATATAAAGGAAAACTTATAAAATATTAAGTATAAGATAAATACTCTAATCGTATATATAGAATTATATAAAGTTTAGCTTACGCCACTTACTACTAAAGTACTAAGTGAGTATGTTAACGCAGGCGGGCGGTCGTGGTCGTGGTCGTGGTGTTGGGTTGGCCCCTGTGGAGACGCCTCGGATGAGGTAATTTGTCCCGCTTATTTGTTTTCTCTGTATGGGATCGCGTTTGGGTGCCGTCACTCTTTGCGCCAGACCAGATCCAGCCAATAAACCCACTGGCGGACCCGGCCCCTTGTCGCTGTGCTGACAAACCAGTCTTGCTGACAGTACTAGGTAACTTGTCACGCCCGACGGCCATGTAGCCGGGGCATCGGATGCGTGGAACAACTCCGTGTCAAAGGAGGTACCTCGGGGTGCCAGACAGACCTCGGTGAATCATCAGCAGCACCGCTCGAAAGCAAATGCGATTGCGAGCCGCCAGAAGGGAATGGCCAATCGAAACAGACGGCATCACGTGGCTGACCTGTGCTGCCTGACAAAGCAGCTCCTCTGAGTCGAGGCTACACAGCAGGACAGGTACTGTGCGGTATCGCGCATGTGGTAATTACAGGTCCTCAGCTCGGTGCGCAGCTGAGCCTGTTTATTTAGCTGGGTGAAGCATGCGGGAGACATCGATTCGCTTGTCCATTGAATCCAGACCTGATTGATTACCTCAGGCCGAGAGGTAGCCAGTCCTCTACTCAAGAGATGACACAATAAGCTAGCTATCTTGACAGAGAAGAATGGACAAAACGCAGAATTGGATGGCCGTCAGCAATGCATAAAGTTCAATATTCAGGAATTGAAATACAAGATGAGGGGTGTGATCTTCTCCCCAGTACTAGCACTGGTACTAGAGAAAAGTGACTTTAGGGGGGCATAAAAGTTCTGCCGCGGCTGACCGCCCTAGTACTAGAGTCTAGTACGCGGAGAGGGTGACTTCTAACCCTCTCCGCGTACTAGGAAATTTATATAAGAAAAACAGGGTTTTAAGCGGAAATATCTAGTATTAGTACTAGAGCGCGAAAGTACTTCGTCGATATAGAGTAAATTTTGTATAACTTATAGGTGGAGACGTTATTTCTAAATTGGGGAAATTTATAAGGTAAAAGAGGTACTACGCCCCACTGCGCGCTCCTTATCGCCCTTACCTGCATTTTTCTCTAGTACCAGTGCTAGTACTGGGGAGAAGATCACACCCGAGATCGGTTGGCTGAAGCATGACGGTCTGCTGGTACTCTCACCTTGTTGGGTGACCATCTGCCCCGTCGGCTCCGGCAGGCAGGCTGGCAGCTGTCTCCCTCTCCAAGAAAGATACATTGAGCTACCTGCGAGCAGCAACAGAGCACCGGGTCGGAACAGCGGACGAAAGTACCGCCCTGGGACCTCTTGTCGGTACCTGCTGCTACCTGCTACAAGCATCCGCCCTACCGAGATTCTCTTCGTCTCGTCGCGTCCCTTCGTCTTTCGCATCCGAATCCAATCAGCCAATCCTTCGCCCCCCAGCCATTCGATTTTCCCTTCGAAAGGCAGCTTCGACTCTCGATCCATCCATCACAGGAATCCTGCGTGCCTGCGTGGTTTTGGCGACCAGGAAACAGGACGACACGACACACTCAACGCCTCAAAGCAGCTCTCTAAGCCACCAGGCAATTCCCCCCTCTCGTCCATTCACCTGCCTTCCCACCCACCCCCTCCCTCCATCAAGCTCCCGTCGACGTGCGCTCGGAGGCTGGAGCTCAGAGCTGTCCACCAGGCAAGCTCCCCTTCCACACCACCACCACCACCACCACCACCTGGCCGCACCTGGGCGCATTGGTACCAACTGGCGTGACAAAAAAAAAAAAAAAAAAAAAAAAAAAGAGGGACGGGACGCATTTTGCATGCTGCCGCGGATCAGAAAAAGGTCCAAGCTACGACCACCACCCATCCGCGGCCTGCCACCTGCCTTACCTCACCTTGTTGTTGCTGCTGCTGCTGCTCACCTCTGCTGCTCCCGCCTCAACGCAACCCGTCACTCACCCTTACCACTCGCACGGCAAGCGGGCGACGGACGGCCTTCCCTTTCCTGGGTTCTTACCTCACCACAACGGTACCTTCGGATACTTGTGTCCCTCCACGGGCCACTTTCCCTGCCTCACCTTACGTTACCGCGTCCACCTCCAACACGCTTTTCCCACAACACAACCCATCGCAGCTACCCACACCCTCGTCAGGTTCCCCTCCTCTTCGACGCGCTAAGGTCGCAGACGATTACCTAAACATATTCGAACTGCCGCATCGGTCGCCCGTCTCATCCACCAGTCTCATCGTCCGGGCCCTCTTTATAAGTCCTCTCGGGTGCCTGTAGTAATCAATCCTCCGTCCACTTCATGCTGAGTCAGAACCGGAGCTTGAAGATGCAGAGCGCTTCACCCTCGCCCTCTGCGTCCGCGAATACCACCACTAATACAGGTGAGTAGTGGTCTGCCTTTCTCGTTATTCCCCTTCCAAGCGTCGCCATTCCCATCTCCGTCTCCTGCTCTATCCAGCCCTCCATCTCCCGTTCCGCCCGGCCACCTCAAGC